GAAACTTTTAAAAGCAAACATGTCAATTGACCTATCGGTTTTACGAAATTTTATAGTAATATATATCTAAAATATTAAACAGAGAAACGAAATAAATTTTGAGCGAAAATACGGTGAAAAAAATTCTGATTGCATATTTTCTCGGAAATTATGGTATATTGGTCCTTCGTGTGTATCGGCTTAAATTTATTTACATGGTATAACATATAATCACGTTTGCGTATACATCCCGTTTTATTGGACATAAAGATTTATTATTTTCCTTTTATGGCGAGATATATAATTGCGGCTCGCTTTATTTTCTCGCTCTCGGCGGGAAGAGCCACGTGCGTTTTGCGCAACGGATTCTTGGTCGCGGTGCGATTAACGTCGTAAAAGCTTCATGTAACGTTTAAATACCGGCGATATTTACACGCTCGTTAGAGCACTATTAACGCCATTAGAACAGTATTAAGAATATAGGTCTCGTCGTTTTTAGTGTCAGTTCGCACGATCCGCCGTTCGCGGATGAACGCTCTACTTACGTCGAGCTCGACTTCTCGACTTTCTACGAGTTCGTCGTCCCTTTAAGGTTCCGAAATTCGATTATTCGAGAGCCGGATTGCTGTGACCGATCACGTATTGGAGCGATCAATTTTAAACTGAACCTCGGGATCCATTATTATTAATATTCCAGTAGGATTTGACTGTCATATTCGTGAGTCGATTTTTTCGTATCATCACGATCAACATATCGCTTAATATAATTTGATAAATTTTTCTCTCTTCAACGAGAAAAAAATCTTTTTTCACAATATATGTATATATTTATAATTAGTAACATGTTGTTTCCTCTTGTTAATTTATTCTTGGTTCTTGCATTCACGTAGAAACGTAATGAAAAATCAACTTTTCTCACAGATTAGGTATTTCCCGAGAAACACGGTATTCCGTCGAATTGATTGTCTAAATACCAAAAGCTCTAGCCGCGCACGCTATCCCTTGCGGTGATCATCGTTGCCGAAGGTATCGCGGCCGACGACGTACTAACGCTAACTACTACATTTATCTAAACTTTATGGCTCGTGACTAAGCGTTCGGGATGAAGCTTTGGCATTCTGTAGGCTTCATCGAATCCACCATGGCAGGGAAAAGCGGATTCTCGAAGTCACGGCAGTTACATGTTTCTATAATATAATTCACGTTTGTTCGCCCGACGCTGTTTCCGGGTGTCGCGCTGGCATTTTCTCTCGTTTCGCGGGGAAAAAAGAATTTTATATTGCAACAGTGATGCGCGGAGCCGACGACGACGACGATAACGATGATGACGACCGAATTGCGTGTACTTCGGCAAAAATGTCATTCGCGCGGCCGCCCCGGGACGCGAAATTATTACCGTTGCACCATCAAGCGTACGTCGTACGTCGGAATATCCTCCCGGCGTCAATCGCGATCCGACCGAGTCGGTCGTGACGCGGCCTCTGTTCGGCAACCTTTGCCCACCCAGGACGTGAACGTGGTTTCAGACTCCGCTGCGGCACGGCACGATGCGCACGTACGACGAACCCTCGCGATATCGAAGGCGGCGCCAGCTTCACCGAAGTCTAGGTCGACAATCGTGTTAATGGGCGAAAGATTTCCTAGTAACACAGTGGGAGTAACACAATTGATTTCTGAGAATTTTCTATTAGCTATCCTAATTAACAATCAAACTTACTTTAAATGTTGCACGTTTTATGTGATGTAATAATTTTTGAACTATAAAGCAAAAACTATAAAGCTGTTTGAATTAAAAGTCGGAAACTGAAATTGAAGCTATCGTCACTGTTAAATTCGTGTCAAATTATCTAAACAAATGACTCAATTTGAGTCATTTTTAACCATTCCTATAGATCGCCCACTGCTCCTATTCAATATGTCAACTAAATCAATAAAGTTAAAATAATACTGTTTTGTGTTAAAATAATTTCGACATATACAAGGTAGTTAAAAATAACAAAATGTTATTTTTAAGGTATTTTTTGAAATTTTATCCTGTAATATTTAACAGTGACTGCAAAATACATTCATCAACGTACAGTAAATTCTTTTCGAAAAATGATTCTGAAAAAAAGAATTAATTGCTTTAACATTGTGAATTCAATTATACTCACGTGTCTATAGCACAGAGTATTAAACCATCGAATCTTAAACTAGAAAGTAGAAGTAGAGATTAGCAGTTGATTGATAAATGTTACTAACTCGTCTCAACGATCTCGGTCGGACGTGCGGTCATAATTAAAGTTTTCCTCGATCCATTCCACGCGCATGCACCATCGCCCAGTGACATCGACTTCCGGCCAGCCTGGAAGCATCGTCCAAACGCTATTACGAAAGGAAACGCGCACCCGCTCGGCATCTCTCGCAACGGGATCTCTCCCCGGTCAGCAGCGACAAAGCCTGTATATATCGCGGCGTTCTTTCATTAACTCTCTCGACGTGTGGGACGTGTAATTTAGGCGAAGCACTAACTGTCAGAGGCGCGCTAACGGCGATCAGTGTCGACACGGCCTCTTCGGGCCTTGGTCTTATCGATCTCTCGTTGCCTGCCGTTGCCGGTGGAATCGCGTAATCGTATCGTATATACCGGGAGGAATGAGGCGCGCTGCAACGCGTACTCGCTAACACCTATATCCATCATATGTCAACCGTGCGCGGCGGTTACACCGCGCTGATGAATCCCAAGTATCCCGACGCGCGCCGAGCCGCCGAGCGAGGCGAGACGTGGGCGTCGCGCTCGTCGCGATCGTAAGCTGTCGCGTGACGTTAACTCGGCGAAATCAAAGTGATTTACTTATCAACACGATCGTCAGTTCCGGGGAGAACGGGCGACCGCTATATGATCTGACTGTTACGCGCCGTTGAATCCCGCGGATACGTGCCATTACGGTTACATGAAAACGGCCGGTTCGATAATAGACGCGCGATGATTACGACGAGGAAGGGTGGTTCGATCCTGTCCTCTTATCTATCATCGTGCGGCAAAACGGAGAGTACGCGCAAATAACTGAGCCACATCCGGGAGAGTACGCGCGTAACATCAACGATGACTGGTTAAAGAATATTATCAGACCGTTCAGCTCTTTATATAGAAATAAAAATATTTTCTTTTTTAGATTTTTATTAAGTACAGATCGAGTTATATTTTCCAACGATAATAAAATTCAATCAGTCGAAGATTTGTCGTTCCGAATATTTCACGGCACTGAAATCCGGAAATATGATCTTCCTGGGTTCGAAGGTTACCTTCGCCGTGACTTCATAATGGACGTCTAACGACAGGAAGTCAGGCGATTTGATTTTATCTTATATGCGCTATCGCAACCAACAGGTCGTTCTCGCAGCATCGACTCGTGGCCAACTATATGATTTACGCTATCGAGTTTTATACGGGGAGCAGCGACGCGCCGCTCGAAAGTCTTGGTCGCGACTCGCGCAGTTGCATGTGCAATTTGAGAAGGTTGTCACGAAACGTTGCATAGGCGTTCCCTTCGCCGCTCGCTCTCTCGACTTTCGACGATAATGTACGATCGAAAAGTTTGGCGTACCGCAACGGGGAAATCGGAGGAACGCCGACAGTTATAACCGGAAATAGAACGTGTAGCACGGTGGAGGTATGGGGGTCAGAAATTTATACCGCGCTCCGAGTCGTAACCTGTCGCGCTGATGACAATTTAAGATAGATCGGGATACAAGTAGTGCGTATAAAGCTGGTCATTGTGCCCGCTAGACACTGCACCGCTGTGTTGTGCAGAAAAGCGTGATTGCTATATGTACAAGAGAAGAACACGAGAAGGGTGTGAGTGCCGGAGCCGCGTGAGAAATGCTGCATGCTTAATGTCAACCACCCACGTGTCATGTCATAACTTAATTGCGTTGACGATATCCGATATAACTAAATTATGTTTAGCCGGCTGAGATTGCGCTTACGCGCATTTTCAGCTACCGCTCGCGGAGACGCGATCTCTCATTGTAATATTATTGGTCAGGCATACAATCAGGCTTTATTATAACGACAATGTTGCTTTCTGACACTACATCGCATAAAATGTATGAGTTTTCTTATACTTCTTATAGTACAAAAGTAATCAATGATAACGATAAAATGCTCAAGCTTCTATGAAAATATGATTGAAATGGTTGCCTTGGAGTTAATAGCTCTACTTTTAAATTATTATTTATATCTCATATGTTTTGTTAATATTACTATAATTACTTTTACTTATAATAGTTTACAAGTTTAGTAAAGCATTCAGACTCTTGGCAATCACATAATAGTGAGCGATATCAAGAGTACGCCGGACGTGATTACGCTTCGCCTTAAACTTAATCCGAATGGCGATCGTGAGAAACAACACGTCGATTAAAATACATAACGAGGCATGCCTGACGGGTCTGCACGTGTACGTCGATTTACAAAAGCGTCGCGTCGCCGCAGCGAATGACACGCTTCATTCCGTTGCACGACGCGACAGGGAGGAGAAATCGTATACCTAACACACGTGGGAGATCTTGCAATACGTGTGCACTACTGCGACGCGCGGTAACTGTGTGACTCATATGTGCGCACGGAATTCCTCGACAGAAGCGATAATATTTGCTTAGGAAATTCGACGTTTGTAAATACGGGTGGGTGCACTTGCGCGGGACGGGATACAGTTTCGATAAGCACTCGAAAACACCGCAGGCAGCCCGGCTAATGCACGAAGGGACAGACAATGGTTATTTTTAGCATTATGTGGAGCTAACTCCGAATCGCATTGTTGCTTTAACAGAAGTTGCTTTAACACTTCTTCTTTTATGCTTTTTGGAAATATTTATTTATTTAATAGCATATTCTGAAAAATGTAATATAAAATGCCGCGACAGTAATAGCGACTTTACTCCAATTATCGAATAAATTGCGATTGTAATTAAGCGATAAATAATCCCATTATATTTTCTTCACAAATTAATATTTGATGTATATTTTAAATTTTCAGCTCCGACCGCACAAAAGATGGCTTTACTATTTTCATACGCGGCGATTCTAAGGAGAGTCTGGAGTTCGTGGACGAAGTAGTGGTCCTGCTGCAGGTAAGAATAACTCCGCGGACGAATGAACATTTTATCGTAAGTACTTTATTCGACGTCGCAGAAAATCACGCGCAAACTTTTGCCTTTTTATAGGGCAGGGTCAACGTGGCTCAGACTCTCGTGCTTCGAAATGCCGCAACAACAACGGATGGCCTGATCGATTCTCTTTTACCTCTCAGTAACGTCCAGGTGAGTCCCCATATCGACGAACAATTAAATCCTCAGACGGCATTGAGCGCACCTTTCCGCGGGGCAAGAAAGTAATCGCGCTCAATCGCTCGTCGTTTTTGTCTCCTGAATGTTCATTGAACGCCGGTACTGATCCAGTTTCCACGGTGCATTATATTTGGCTTCTTAAGAGCCCGCACGTGCGTCTCGTATCGTAATTGTGTCGCTCGGTGCATTATAGCCGCACGGTCTCCATTGTGACGTTTCTCTCCTTTGTCGGGGCGAAACGAATATCGCTACAAAAGCTAAAAGCTCAGTATTCGCGACAAACGTAATTTACAGTCGACCCCATAAGTACGATCATTGAATGCCATCGGGACATTATAATTACCCATAAACGTTCTCTTTCAGACCGTCATCGTGAATGACGCCACTCTAGCAAAGTATATTCCCAGACGAGAAGAAAATCACGACCAGATGCAATGGATTGCTTTTTACAAGGTAACTATGCCTTTACAGGGAATACTTAAACATATTGACATTGCAAAAATTTAATTGAAATAGCAAAGAAAACATAAAGTATATATTAAATATTCTGTAGACTGAGAAAAAAATACTTGAAAATTTATTTGTGGAATATATAAGGTTTATTTTACAGAAATAAACCTTATATTTTACAAGTGAGATTTATTTCTGGTGAAATAAACCTTATATTCCACAAATAAATTTTTAAGTATTTTTCTCAGTGCAGTACACACCATATTACATAAAATATACAAAGACTTAAGGCTCAGTCACAATGAGAAAAATAAGGAATAAGATAAAGGAATAAGGAATAAAGGAATGTCACATCTCACTTCAGTACACGTACATTAAAGTGAGATGCAACATGCCTTATTCCTTATTCCTTTATCTTATTCCTTATTTTTCTCATTGTGACTGAGCCCTTAGATCGCAGATGCGGATAAAGCATCTTGATAATGCGAATCTCGCGACAAATTGTTATCGCAACTTGTCGTTTAACGTCAAGCAACGGAAAGCCGTTTCGATGGGCTCAACGTCATGACGGTGATTTGGCAAGTTCGGCGAAATAAATACACGCTGGAAGTCACTCGAGCGAAATAATTGTGTAGACTTTTGCTGATAGCCTTTCGTAATAATTGTCGTGAGCTTGCTACCTGACCTGACTGTTTATTGTCATTATCAATTTGTCAATATTTCGTATCGATAAATATGCATTTACATTTTTATTTTTATTTGTTTTCTTAGAACGAATTATGTGTTGCATATTTATACATATGTATATATCCTTTGGAATTTAAATTTTTAAATAAGACATCAAGTAACAGTATATTAAATTTTTTTTTAAGTTAAGTTTTATGACAATATATATGATTATATTTATTATAATTTATAAAGTTTAATGTTACTTCAATTTTTAATCATGGATCATCAATTTTTTATATTTATCAATAAGAATTTAAAAAAGGTTGATGAAATAATCGATCGTTAGTCACAAAAATTGTAATGGAGGAAAAAATTTTAAATATATTCGGTGAGAATGCTGGATAATTTATATTATGTAATCAATAATTCTATATCGTTCGAATTTATCTTGCGGTTGTCGGGTCTTATGATACTGTGATAGAAGTTAGTGATTGGTTATACTCGAGGATAATGGATTGATTATAAGATCGATTAATCTGTTGAACGATTTTGCAAAATTAAGATATCGCTAGATATCGACCGGACTTGCAATCTATCGCATCATGTATATTCGTAATACGATTATAATATATTTAAAAATTTTTGAAGATACATATATTATACATATTTTTTATGTTGTGTGTTAAGTTTTTCTTCATTCTATTTATGCCAAATATGAAAGATGATATATTGATAATCTAACTTTTACGTTTCTGTAATATAATCTTGACTTCATATCGGCTAATATTAATATATCTTGGCACAAAGATATATCTAGCTTGATATATATAAATCCAGTGTATTAAATTAATTATATCGATATCAATCGCTATTCCGAACGCGCGCCACATTCGTCTACACTTGATCTAATGCGATCGGTATTTGCGCGCATGCACGCGATCCAATCCGAGAGATCCGGACAGTTGGAACTAAGAAATTATCGAGATAATAGTTCGACGTATTTGTTTTACGTGCAATAGATATGCGTCATTCGTTACGTATTTCTTTGAACAATGTGCTCTCCGCGTAAGGTTTACAACGACTGATCGATTACGGCTCGTTGAATCGCGCAATATCGCCGTATTAGACATGTCTACTTTTACGTTGCTCTGACATTCTTCCTAGATACCGGTTACCGACGAAGGACATTTCGCTGGATCGCGAGAACGCGCTATCGGGAAGTAGATCTAGACACACGGCTCTGCCATAATCGGTATTTTGATTTCCCGTAGGAGTACGACAGCCTTATGACGGAGTGGCAATCGGCTGGTCGCAGATTGGCCCTCGAAATGTCGGAGCTGAAGGAATGCACAAGCCTGTCCGGCACTTTGACGCCTCTCGGTCGGCTCCTCACGGACCCCACATTGAGAAGAACGTCTAGAGATGCCGAAGAGGCCATCGCCGCGCTCGAGGAACGCGCGGCCTCACTTCTGCACATCGAGCACGTCAGGTAGAATTTTATATTTATTTATATTGACCGCGCGCGCAAAAGAGAAGTGGTCTTTCTCTTATTGTTAGTATAGATTGTATAGAAATATTTTTTTGTCATACGTATTACAGTTTATGAAAAATGATTTCTCTTTATTTCTCTTCACACATAATCAATTTTTCTTATACAAAGGAAATAACGACGATTAATTGTCGCTTTCTTTATATATTGATATTAATTAATAATTAGTAGGTATGCTATTTGTAGCGATATTGATCCGTATTATTTATTCACTTTGCGAATGATTTCTGTCATTGATTAAGATTGCATTAAGTCGAGAAACTAGTTAGGTTGATTGAAACAGGTACACTAAGCTTGCATCGATTTCTGGTTTATATGAAGTATGTATCGATCAAGGACATTTTAATGAAAATAAGAAACATATTAGTAGACGAAACACTTAGTTCCAATTTGCGTTTCGATATTGGCGGATTCGCGAGTGCAAGATTCGATCGCTCATATGCGAGGAGACGAGTACGTGGATTCCTAACGGTGCGTCTTGATCACGGTTCCTTTTTATCTTTCCAGATTGTCGGTGAAACGAGCCCGGAGACTGGTGGAAGAGGTGGGTAAGGCTGCCACCAGGCTGGAGTCATCGTTCGAGTCGCGACGCGCGACTATCCGCAATCTCGCGGTTCTACGGAGCATCGAGGATCAAGCGCACGAGGTAAGTCTCGCACAAATTAATATGTCTACGAGTCATCCGTGAAGTCTCGTAAATCTTCCTCACTCGCAAACTGGCTAATCCGTACCGAAACGCCAGCTTATCTGATCAACATTAGCCTCGATGTCGCTATCGTGATGGAAGTCAGAGAAGATTACGTAGACGGACAAGTGTCGTATTTCCGATGCAATAACGGCATTTGAATGAATATGAAAGATATAAGATTCTGATTTTTAAATACGAGATATTTATGCATTAAATAATTATCTGACGGAGAGAAAAATATTAATTATTTTAGTCTTATAATTCAAACGTCTATATTTTTATCAACGGGTGAGAGAATAAAAGAATTGCGTTAAATAAGACTGTGATTTAGAAATTTAGATTATCGCGTCAATTGCGAGCGTTGTTTAGGCGTTATTTACTTTGGCAGTGACCACTGTGGCCTTGAACTAGAAGAAGACCGTCGGTATTTCGCAACGTAGTTTGTTATTCCGCGTGCGCATGAAAGCCCGCCGTACATGGCCGTTCTCCCAACTCGTTCCTCAACGATTACGCCGAAGTTATTGCACGCAGTGCTTATACTGTCTCGTATACGCGAACTATCCTCCTTCTGAGCCGCGTATGGCCACTCTTTCGAGCGCGACTCGTGCATTGAATTCAGCCAGTCAGCCTCCCCTCAGTCGACAATGGAAGACGCACAAAGGGCTCCCTATCTTCACTTCTACGAACGAGCTTTCGCTTCGAAAATCTCCGCGCTGTACAATCTGGCCGTCGAACGATCTCTCGTGTTGACATTCGATCTCTCATCGATCTTTTGCGGAGCGTTAGCCTCGCCGACGGAACACCGCCGACTTGTTATTCCTTGGTCCTTCGCAAATACGATTCAGCTTTGTGGTGGTGTCGAGCAGTGCTATCGAGAGAGTCCAGCTCTTTCTATCCCAAGAATAGCTACATTTTCTGTGACATTTATTTATAATTTATTATTTATCGAGAAGAATAGTTTATTTTGATATTTGATATTATATTTGAATATAGTTTTATCTTCAAAGAGATAGATTCTCTATTAAGTTAAAATTTTTTTAATGATTTGAGAATATGTGTGCATACATTTATGAACTTAGTTAATCGTAAAGATTTAATATTTCAAATTACACTCTCCAGCAATTTCAGTAATTGTCCGGTCGCTGATTCCGAGAGATGCCTAAAGCAAACATGCGTGTTAACGCGTTTTCCTCGTATTAGACGCCACGAAGATCGGCAAACGCGCGCAATCATCTGCCTCCCCAACGCATTACACTCACTATTTCCATAATGACGACCAAGTCCGGAGACGTGATTGGCGTTACCAACGCGCCCGGGTATAATCGATAATGCGATGGTAGGATCGCGCGGAATCGATAAACGGTCCAGGAAACGACGATGTCGCGGGCGATGGTCGAGAAACGATATATTCGATACTTTTATTAAGGACTTTCAAATTCCCTATTTTTTCAACAAAATAATCCGCCTGGTAGAAAATTTATTTTCTTCATAACATGCACATTTATTTTAAAATCTATTTTTGCTTTATTTTATTTATTCCTCGTGTTGCGAATGTATTTTAATGATGCATTTGTGTACTGACGACTTTTAATAATTATGATAACGTTATAGAAATGCGTTTTCCATTTCTGCATGCAGCATAAATGTATAACTTTTTGTGGGATTTGCATCGTAATAAATGAACCGTCGTCTATTCATGATTTTATATGCGTGTGTGCAGTCTTAACGAGCCCTTTGGGGCGAAAGCGAAATCGAGGTTGCTGAGAATCCACATCTTTCGTGCACAAGCGAATCGAAAATTACCGTGACGGATCGCATAACTGCCGCCCGTCCCTTGATCACTTTATAATTATTAATTATCCATCATGTGCACGGAAAGAATGGCCCATCCTTTGGGAGCCCGAGTGTGAATGAATGACCTGGGCGGTTCGCGATGCTCGATTCTATAATTTTTATCATTTTTTCATACTCTCCGTCATCAAGACGTCCAAAGCGATCAACATGAAGAATAAAATTCGTCGAAATTACAAGATCAGATTAGCTGAAGGAGAAAGAGATTCATAATTCTCATAAATACAGCCTTTATTTCCACTTTATTCCAACCCTATTCTTAAATTTAAAAAAACTAAGAACAGGTAAAAATCTTTGTGGGTGTTTGATGAGCTATTTAATTGATCCAGTTTGATGATTACATGCACGATTGTCAATCAAAGAGCAGTAATGTTCTTTTTCTTCTCAGTATTGAACAAATATGTCCGTGATGATTGAATTCTATTAATAATAATTCAATAATTAAGAGAATTAAAAATTAAAAGAACAATTATATATAAGACATTAATTCCGAATATGGAGTGGCGATGATCTCTCCTCTGTTCAGCATTATCAAGTTACAACTCGCATTTTCACAGGGCCGCGAATTATCTCTCGATAATGTATTTTTTAACGCTCGTTAAAAGCTGCCGCATAAAAAAAACGAAAGAGACGACGCGAGTGCGAAATTGCCCGAAATGTCGTACGTGTATCGAGTAAGTACCTACGTGTACCGCTCAATCTCGTGGGCTCGATTCTTTTTCTTCTGCTGAGTTGTTAAGCTCCGAACGGCCGGTGCGGCGCGCGGCTTCCTACACGCACAAAGCATTCCTCGATAATTAGATACAAGATGCGTGCTGCCCGTGTGCCGCGCGAAGTCGCGTATATACCTGATACATAACTGAGAGACAAGCGTTAATACAACGTTATACAACGTTAATACAGCAGCCGTTGGACTTTCACTTCGACGAAGTCGCTACTTAACGTCGCTACTTAACGATTATAATTTTTGATCAATCGATAACGTCTGGGCCTTCGACAGATTTTGGTCGTAAAAGGAAACGCGTTTCCGAGTCTACCCCGCGCGTGTCTCGGTCCATCGGAAAACGAGCGGCGTGGAATTGAAAATAATCCGACGTCGAATTCCCGTCGACGGGGTACCGTTGTGAAATGCCGATCGAGAAATGCCGGTTTACTAATCAACGATTCGTCCTGAGTGCATTCTTTCGCGTCGAAAAACCATAAAGGAGGCCTGGCAATTAATCCGTGACGTGGGCGCTTCCTTATTGCTGTAGTTAATCGCCGCCGCGCGACGTACCCGCGCTGGAACCGGCGCGCGGCGGCGCGGCGCGGCTCCGGGGCGCCCTATCGCGATTATTCATCCCCAGCGTGGTACTTATTATCTTATTAACCGCGCGATGATGCGATCGGGAATGCGTAGTGGTAATGGGTAGTTTAACGCTTCGTCTGGATCGATCCATCTATCATCGGCAAGTGGTAATAAAGAAGGCCGGGGTAGCATCGCGCGGGCGATAAACGCGAGACAACATTATTGAACTAATTAATTATTAATCGGAACAATTTCCCCGTAAGCACGACGTTAATATGCTCGTGATTGGAAGCGCGTTAGTTATCTCGACTGATATATCTAAAGTGCTTGAATAAAGAATTAGTCAGAATAAATTTAAGAATTCGATAATATAGCGTTTCTATCTGAGTTAAATGTTAGATGCATTTTAATTGCCTCCGTAGTATAATTTAAACAATCATAATCAAGGCTTTACATGTCCGGATAGTTTAAAATGGATCTAACGTCAATTATTTATCAGAAGTTTCATGCACGTGGTTGTCTTGAAAAAATTCATAGTAAGAAAAATAAATTATTACGTATATAATTTGCTCTTTTGTATGTGTGAGTCCGAACGTACTATATTTATGCTGCCGGTAGCATCTTTTCTCTGAGGATCGTTTGATCGCTCTACCAAATAAGCCGAACGCACGCGATCGGGCGATTTTAATCTGTACGATTTCTACAGACGTTCAATAGATTGAAAGCGCCATGCTACGTACGGTGGCGTACACCGAGGAAGGACAACGCGTCCTGGGCAGGGAAGTGGGTCGGTCCTGACAATTGTTTAATTGTTCGATCGAGGCACTTCGATCGGGCGGTACCTCGCTTTCACGTACTAACGGTCACGATTGTGCGAGGGAGAGACCCAGATAGATATTCAGAATTGCCTCATCAGCATTGCTAAATGAGAATATTTTATTTCGTAAGCTCTTGCGATGTGCTTCGAACGAAGTCTTGCCGTGTCGTGTTGTTGCTTAATGGATGAGTATGTTATAAAAAGCTAGATGTAGCGTGACAGTGATCTTAATATGACTGCAGTTGTTACACATATGAACGTAGAATACTCATTTTCTCTCTCTTTTTTTCTCTTTTTTTTTTCTTTTTGCCTCCAAGTCATAGAATGAATATTGGTCGTTCTAATTTCAAATGATCGATACACGTGCGAATCTATTCGAGAATATAAAAATACTCTTTCTTGTTCTACATATCTACATTATTCTACAACATTAATCTGTGGCGATCAATAGTCTACCTCGAGCAAGTGGCAGCGCCTTTCGATCGTCATAAAATCGGCGCGCTTTGTTGTCGGTGGAGAACGTCAGAAAAAACATTAGAAAACACGCACGACAATAATAATAATCTCGGCGAGTGCTCGAAGCGGAGATCTCGTCGTGTATTTCGTTATTACATGTTCTACATGTTCTACTTTAATCACCTGTGAGGCTTGTGCAAATCTCCTCATCCCTTTTTTCATCAATGTCGAACTGACCGGATTGACAACTCGTTAACTAAATCCTGAAAAAAGGGGCCTTTTTCAAAATAAAAGAAGAAAATTAAAGAATTAAAAATGAATAAAAATAGTAAAAAATTTGTGTTACAATAAAGGAATCAAATTTTAAAGATATCTTACATCTGAAGGCATTATTGCATGAATATCAACATTTTTTTATGTATGGCTGCAGAGAGAAAATGTTAGTATTTTTCAACAGATTAATAATAATTAATTTAATATCTTATTATAAAAATAACAAGAATACAACAAATTTATATTCGAAACAATAAGAATGCTACGTTGCAT